GTGCCATGGTGTCACGCAATTGGGCATAGTTGGCCACCTGGTTGACAAGGCCGAACCAGCTTCTGATGTCTGTAGTGGACACCGGGGAGGGGAAGTCACGGATAGCATCCAAGTAGTTAGGTAGCGGCTCAATGGTAGCATCCGAGACTCTGAAACCAGCAAAATCGACACACCTCTGCGCAAACTGGAACTTGTCAGGGTTCAATACAATGCCACAATCACCAACGTGTGTGAGAAAGTCAATGGTTCTCCACCAGTGCTGTTCCAGGTCAGAGTCATAGTGAATAGTGTCGTCAACACAGCGTTCCTTACGCTCATAGTCTGACAGGACAGCATCAAAGCGACGGTTGTAGCCATCACCTGAGGACAGAAAGCCTTGAGGTGCTCTGGTGTACTGCCAGCGGCCGAAAGGAGTGATAAAGGTGGTCAGATGACGATCGGACACACGAAGGGGAACACTATGGTATCCATTCCAGGCATCAGTGACAGTTTTCCATGTGTCCTTGGGGATACGGCGCGCAAGATTGAACGGGGACTCAGTAGCGAATGTCTCACGCTGGCAGAACTTGTTAAGAGGCGAGAGGTTGACAGAGCCCGACGGAATTTACCATCTTATTTACCAAGATGGCGCCTCGTACGGTCGACATGGCTCTTTGCTGCTCTCTTTTTCTTTTGTTTTTACTTTTTAACTGTGCATCTGGCTGTTCCTACACCCGTGAGGAACTTATGAACATCCGACCCACCGTTCCCATGGACCTATTGCCTGTTTTCTTGGCATCTGCGGCTGATTTAGTTCATGTTCTAGCCAAAAAAGTGTGGGCCCGTAAAAGGGGAAAGCGCGGAGGCCTGCTGGTGCGTCTTAGGAGGAGAGGAGCGCGCACGGCTCTCCCCGGCATTTTTCTCTCCAACGTACGCTCACTGGGCAATAAGATGGACGAACTCAGCCTGCTCATGAGAAGAAACAAGGACTTCGCCACATCCTGTGTCCTCTGCTTCACTGAGACCTGGCTAAATGAGCGGATCCCGGACTGTGCTCTGGAGCTGCAGGGCTTTGGGCTGTTCCGCGCGGATCGCCATTGTGCGCTCTCAGGGAAGAGCAGAGGCGGAGGGCTGTGTTTCTACGTCAATACAAACTGGTGTAACGATGTGACAGTGATCTCCAAGCACTGCTCTCCTGCTCTGGAATATCTTTTCATTCATTGTAAACCATATTACTCCCCGCGGGAAATTGTTTCATTCATTCTTGCCTCTGTTTACATACCGCCATGCGCGGACGCGCGCGAGGCTCAGCGCGCACTCGCAGAGCAAGTACTGTGTATGGAACGTTTATACCCGGACTCTCTGATTATTATCCTGGGGGATTTTAATAAGGGAAACTTGAGCCAGGAATTACCCAAATACAGACAGTTTATCAAATGCCCGACCAGAGAGGAGAACACTCTGGATCACTGTTACACCACCGTGCGCGGAGCTTTTCGCGCTGTTCCCAAGCCAGCCCTCGGCTTCTCAGATCACTCCATGATACATCTGGTTCCTGCTTACAGACAGAGACTAAAGCTCTCGAAACCTGCAGTGAGGAGCTCCAAAGTGTGGTCTGATGAAGCTGTGGAAGAGCTGCGCGCATGCATGGAATCTACAGACTGGGACCTTTTCAGAGCTGCCACAGACAGTTTGGATGAATATACGGACACTGTGACGTCATACATTCACTTCTGTGAGGATAGCATCATTCCAACAAGGACCAGGGTCATCTACAACAATGACAAACCCTGGTTCACTGCTAAACTCCGGCAGCTCAGGAAAGCAAAGGAGTCTGCTTTCAGGGAGGGGGACCGCAGCGGCTACAAAGCAGCTAAATATCAGTTCAGGAAAGAACTGAAAGCAGCCAAGTCCCGGCACAGAGAACGACTACAGGAGCAGTTTGGTAACAACGATACTGCTTCTGTCTGGAGGGGCCTACGGGAGATCACCAACTACAAACCCAAAGCCCCCCCCTGTGCTGATGACCACAAGCTAGCTGACGAACTGAACTTATTTTTCAGTCGCTTTGATGCTGCCCCTGACACCTCTCCCTCCCCCACCCCCCACTACTCTAACGACCCACCCATCAGCCCTGCCCCCAGCCTAACAATAGCCTCTAAAGAGATTAAACAACTCTTCCTGAGGCTGCACCCCCGCAAAGCTCCTGGCCCGGACCACGTGTCTCCGGCCACTCTGAGACACTGCGCCAGTGAGCTTACTCCTGTGTTCACGGACATTTTCAACACCTCTCTGCAGTCCTGCCATGTCCCGGCCTGCTTCAAATCCTCCATCATTGTCCCCGTCCCGAAGAAGCCCAGGATCACAGGACTCAATGACTACAGACCTGTAGCACTTACGTCTGTCGTCATGAAGTCATTTGAACGCCTGGTTCTCTCCCATCTCAAGTCCCTCACCTCCCCCCTACTGGACCCCCTGCAGTTCGCCTACAGAGCCAACAGATCTGTAGACGACGCCATTAACCTGGCCCTCCACCACATCCTACAGCACCTGGACTCCCCGGGGACCTACGCCAGGGTCCTGTTCGTGGACTTCAGCTCTGCCTTCAACACAATCCTGCCATCCCTGCTCCAGGACAAGCTTTCCCAGCTCAACGTGCCCGTTTCCACCTGCAGGTGGATCACTGACTTCCTGACGGACAGGAAGCAGCGAGTGCGTCTGGGGAAGAATGTCTCGGACTCTCGGATTATAAATACAGGAGCCCCACAGGGCTGTGTTCTTTCTCCCCTGCTCTTCTCCCTGTACACCAACCACTGCACCTCCAGCCACGACTCCGTGAAGCTGATCAAGTTTGCGGACGACACCACCCTCATTGGACTCATCTCCAACAACGATGAGTCCGCCTACAGGAGGGAGGTGGACCGGCTGGTGTCCTGGTGCAGTGGTAACAACCTGGAGCTGAACGCCCAGAAGACAGTGGAGATGATTGTGGACTTCAGGAAGAGCACTGTCCCCCCGCCCCCACCCTCCCTGATGGACTCCCCCATCACCTCTGTGGAGTCCTTCCGTTTCCTGGGCACCACCATCACCCAGGACCTCAAGTGGGAGCCGACCATCAGCTCCCTCATCAAGAAGGCCCAGCAGAGGATGTACTTCCTGCGGCAGCTCAGGAAAGCCAAGCTGCCTGCACAGATGTTGGTGCAGTTCTACACGGCCATCATCGAGTCCATCCTCACCTCCTCCATCACCGTGTGGTTCGCTGGAGCCACAGTCAGGGACAAACAGAGACTACAGCGCATTGTGCGCTCTGCAGAGGAAGTGATCGGCCGCAGCCTTCCATCGCTGCAGGACCTGTACGTTGCCCGAGCTCGAGGCCGGGCTGGTCGTATCACAGCCGACCCCTCTCACCCTGCACATGGACTATTCCAACCACTCCCCTCAGGCAGGAGGCTGCGGTCCATCAGGACTAGAACCTCCCGCCACAAGAACAGTTTCTTCCCCTCTGCTGTTGGACTCTTGAACACTTCGTAACCTGTCCCCCCGCCCTTTATAAAGTCACTTTACTGCCCATCATACGTCACTTTACTTCACTGTACTGCTGTCACCTTACATTGTGTGCACCATGTGCACTTGTATATTGTAAATAGTAACTGTAACTCTATTTTAAATTTAAATTTATTCTTTAGAAGTGTTTTTTATTCTTATTTTTATTATATCTTTTTGACTGTTGCACTGAGCCAAAGCAATTTCCAAGTCTGTGACCTCCTGTTACTTACGTTGGCAATAAAAATGATTCTGATTCTGATTCTGATTCTGAAAGCCCATGGGCAACAGGCTGAGGTTAAGTAGTGACTCATAGGACAGGTACATTGTACGGACCGAGCTGCTCACGTACACCATCGACCGACAAGACTTCACCACTCCGCTTCTGGGTGACGTAGAGAGCCTTGCAAAGAACGCACCCTCCACAGTTATGGGAGAGCGATTGGCAGCCGATAGGCTCAGATTGACGGGACGTAGGTCATCACATGAGAAGCCACAGGCCAGAAACTCATGCATAGACCACAGGTCAGACTGGGCACCAGTGTCTGCAATGGCTGATATCGTCGCTGGACCATCCGAGCCATTGTCCACAACGCCATTCCTCGTGTCCCCCACTCTGTCGATCGAGATGGTGATGCGCACCCTGGGGTGGTCCCTCATCTTAGCACGTCTCCACCCGCCCTTAGTGAAAATATGGTGCTCAAGTTTTATGGCCTGGGGCTCATTGATCACCGCAGGAGGACGACGCCGGTGGCGGCACCTGAGGCGTTGGACAGGGCGGGCCCCTGATTGTACCGAAGAGATCTGGGATATCGGCCCTGATTGTATTGCAGCTTGTTGACTACCAGCAGATGGTTCCTGGCGGCGCTTGCGACGGTGGGCCCTGTAACAATCAGCGCACACTCTGTGAGGTTTAGTGTTCCACCCACGAGACCCCTCGGTGAAGACATTAAAAGTGATTTTACAGTCCGGGCACAATGCCTGTTTAGCTCTGTCAGGCTGGGCTAGAGACGGAGCAGCGCTCGCCTGAGTGACCTTCCTTGAGCGCTGTAAAGATGACATTGCGGACAGAGTGGACGACGGTAGAGCGTTACGGGCCATCTCTTTATTCTCAACCAACGCGATTACATCGTTAACAGGCTTACACAGGACATCAGGTATACCCAGCGTCTCACGGCGTATATCAGAGTCAAAAATCCTGTTAATCAGAACGTCGCGGATTATGTGGTCAGTATAATCCACATTCAACCCACACACACACGCTGCAGCGTACGCACATGTCTCGGCTTTACCCCGCACTCTCGCTGTGAATGCCCGGAATGTCTCATCGCGCTCCTGGTGTAACTGAAGCAGCTCGGTGCGCAGAACACATGTGGCCACAGGGATAACTGCGAGCGATCGCATGGCGGCGATGAGGTCAGGCGTAGAACCAGAAGCAGCATTGGGATTAGCTTTCAACAGGCTGTCACCCAGTTCAGGCCCAGCACACTGGAATAACTGGAAAGGGGCCTGGGCGTCACTCATGCCCGAACCAGCACGGAAAACCTCCCAGCGGCGTGTGAACACATTCCATTCCTCTATTGATACGCCGATGTCCACTCTAGGACGATCAAGCTTCGGGCCATGACCGACCGGGGCTTGGGCTACGACAGGCGGGACCTGATGGGCCAGTCCATGATTCGTCAAAAGAGCAATGGCAAGGGCTTCAGAAACGTCTTGGGTCTGGAAGGCGCAGCCAGGAACTGAGCACTCAATGATAACCATGGCTTCCTCATGAAGAAAGAGACTCCTCTATGTCAATTTATATTTTAATGACAGAGATGAGGAAGCCCTGCAATAAACAAACATAGTAGCATAAGCTAACACTATCGCTTATAAATACATGTACAGAATGCAGTGGCTTGAAACAAATATAAATGTAGAAAATATAACTTACATACAAAACAAGAACAGCTCGCTAGGGTTAGCATTAGGAGGGTAAAACTTTCAATCCTGCGGACCCTCGACTCACTCGCTGATCTCAACCAAACCGCTAGCGGCCTCTAGTGGTAAACTCTTCACTTTTATCCAGTTTTATTGATGTACTTGTCTGCTGTACACCCACTCTTTACCTCCAACAACATTACAAAGTATGATTATCTTAAAAGCAGTAAAATAATCTTACAGGACAAACTACATTCAAGCAAAAACAACTGATTTATGTTATTTTTAGTAAATAAATCTTACCATTTTTTTTACTTTTCTCAGCGTGCTGGTCCGTGTTACCTGCATCATGGCCTAAGTAAGAGCAAAACACAAACTAGGAATGAGCTTTTCCCACATAATACATGTCACTTAATCGCGTCCAGCTGAGTTCAGGAACATAACTTTACAAAGGTGAAACATGGTTAAAGCTGAATAATGTTCCCTTTAAAACCCTGTGCTGTTTGTAAGTCGTGTTAGCATCAGAGAAAGCAGCTAATGTGTAGCTCTTATTAACTTGTTTTGAATCATTTGTTTGCAGTGAAGCCTCATAACTGCGCACTCAAAGCCGCTGACAGGTTTTCCATTTCCCCTGAGCAGATAAATAAGTGCAGAGGAGCAGGGAGAGAGGCGGCCGTTCTGAGCCGGTCATTTGTTCCGACAGAAACAGATTAATAAGGCATTTATATTCACTGGAACACACGGGGGAGGGGCCAGATTCAAGTCCGGCGGCGGAGAAAGCAATGTGGTCGAGTGTGAGTCAGACGTGACAAAGCCTGGATCTGAGACAACGGGAGTGAAGTGGGAATGATAAGTTAGACATCTTTATCTGCGTAGCACCTTTTCTCACTCCACACAGAGGAGGGAGCAGGCCAGACCTATTTTACATGCTTCTAGTGGTAGGGGGAAACCGGAGTAGCCGGAGGAAACCTGCGCACACATGGGGAGAACATGCAAACTCCTTCTTGCCACCGAGCTGCAGAAATGATTACTTAAAGGAGACGTATGCAAGTAGTGTGTATTTCTGATCTTGTTTGGCAATTTCTCAAGTTAGATTAAAGTATTCACCATCTCATGTCTGTGTTTTTATCTCTCTCGTACTTTTAAAAAAAAACACAAAAACAAAGCAATTTCAACTCCTCCCTCTGGTGGCAGCATAGGGAGTTGCAGGCAGGAAGCATTTCGTAGCCTTCGCACACGTTTCACAAAATATTTTGGATGTATTATAATGTCTGGATAGAGTATTACAGCTCGGAGCTCAGGGACCCATGTGCTCTGGGGATTCTCACGGAACTGCAGAATAAACCAGACTAAACCAGACTAAACCAGACTAAATTCACAAGGGCAACCCAGAAAAATGACCCATAGAACTCAATGTAAACTAGAACAGCTCGATCTCAGCTGACCGAGAACCTGACAGAGAACCTGACAGAGAACCTGACAGAGAACCTGACAGAGAACCTACAGAGAACCTGACAGAGAACCTGACAGAGAACCTGACAGAGAACCTACAGAGAACCTGACAGAGAACCTGACAGAGAACCTACAGAGAACCTGACAGAGAACCTGACAGAGAACCTGACAGAGAACCTGACGGAGAACCTGACAGAGAACCTACAGAGAACCTGACAGAGAACCTGACAGAGAACCTGACAGAGAACCTGACAGAGAACCTGACAGAGAACCTGACAGAGAACCTGACAGAGAACCTGACAGAGAACCTGACAGAGAACCTGACAGAGAACCTACAGAGAACCTGACAGAGAACCTGACCGAGAACCTGACAGAGAACCTGACAGAGAACCTGACAGAGAACCTGACAGAGAACCTGACAGAGAACCTGACAGAGAACCTGACAGAGAACCTACAGAGAACCTGACAGAGAACCTACAGATTTCATAAAGATCAGATTGTCTTCCTGAACTTTTTTTTTCTTAAATCCTTCTGTTTTTCCATAAATCCACACTTTAGTGCAACAAGCTCTGCTTGATCCTCTCCCGCTCTGACTCCGCTCTGACTCCGCTCTGCTGCTGCTCTGATCAGCTGCTCTGATTGGTCAGAACAAGGCCAAGCCCCTCTGTGCACGTGCATGAGAGTCACACACACGTATTTGGAGCAAAGCATCATGGGATCTCGTCCAATAGTGCAGAACTGGGAGGACCAGAGAAATGACCAACTATGGGCGAGTTCCTATAATCCTTTGGTCCCCATGGCGACACATGCACTACTGAGCACAAGCAGCTGATTTGAATAGGACGCCATCTTGGATCAGCGGGGCTTGATACAAATGGACCGAGACACACAAAGAGAATTCACAAATGATCTTAAAATGATCTTCATCGGTGCCAAAACTTATCGTCAACAGCATCCTCTTTACAAACTTTACACAGGACGCTTTCATTCTGATTGAACTGACCCTGCTTTAAACACATTAGTGCAGCTGTGTGTGGGGGGGAGTCTCCACCTGCAGCTGTGGATGTGTGGGGGGAGTCTCCACCTGCAGCTGTGGATGTGTGTGGGAGGGGAGTCTCCACCTGCAGCTGTGGATGTGTGTGGGAGGGGAGTCTCCACCTGCAGCTGTGGATGTGTGTGGGGGGAGTCTCCACCTGCAGCTGTGGATGTGTGGGAGGGGAGTCTCCACCTGCAGCTGTGGATGTGTGTGGGAGGGGAGTCTCCACCTGCAGCTGTGGATGTGTGGGGGGGAGTCTCCACCTGCAGCTGTGGATGTGTGGGGGGGAGTCTCCACCTGCAGCTGTGGATGTGTGGGAGGGGAGTCTCCACCTGCAGCTGTGGATGTGTGTGGGAGGGGAGTCTCCACCTGCAGCTGTGGATGTGTGGGGGGGAGTCTCCACCTGCAGCTGTGGATGTGTGGGGGGAGTCTCTCCACCTGCAGCTGTGGATGTGTGTGGGAGGGGAGTCTCCACCTGCAGCTGTGGATGTGTGTGGAAGGAGAGTCTCCACCTGCAGCTGTGGATGTGTGTGTGGGAGGGGAGTCTCTCCACCTGCAGCTGTGGATGTGTGTGGGAGGGGAGTCTCCACCTGCAGCTGTGGATGTGTGTGGGAGGGGAGTCTCCACCTGCAGCTGTGGATGTGTGTGGGAGGGGAGTCTCCACCTGCAGCTGTGGATGTGTGGGGGAGGGGAGTCTCCACCTGCAGCTGTGGATGTGTGTGGGAGGGGAGTCTCCACCTGCAGCTGTGGATGTGTGGGAGGGGAGTCTCCACCTGCAGCTGTGGATGTGTGTGGGAGGGGAGTCTCCACCTGCAGCTGTGGATGTGTGTGGGAGGGGAGTCTCCACCTGCAGCTGTGGATGTGTGGGGGAGGGGAGTCTTCACCTGCAGCTGTGGATGTGTGTGGGAGGGGAGTCTCCACCTGCAGCTGTGGATGTGTGGGGGGGAGTCTCCACCTGCAGCTGTGGATGTGTGGGGGAGGGGAGTCTCCACCTGCAGCTGTGGATGTGTGTGGGAGGGGAGTCTCCACCTGCAGCTGTGGATGTGTGTGGGAGGGGAGTCTCCACCTGCAGCTGTGGATGTGTGGGAGGGGAGTCTCCACCTGCAGCTGTGGATGTGTGGGAGGGGAGTCTCCACCTGCAGCTGTGGATGTGTGTGGGAGGGGAGTCTCCACCTGCAGCTGTGGATGTGTGGGGGAGGGGAGTCTCCACCTGCAGCTGTGGATGTGTGGGGGGGAGTCTCCACCTGCAGCTGTGGATGTGTGTGGGAGGGGAGTCTCCACCTGCAGCTGTGGATGTGTGGGGGGGAGTCTCCACCTGCAGCTGTGGATGTGTGGGGGGGAGTCTCCACCTGCAGCTGTGGATGTGTGGGGGGGAGTCTCCACCTGCAGCTGTGGATGTGTGTGGGAGGGGAGTCTTCACCTGCAGCTGTGGATGTGTGTGGAAGGAGAGTCTCCACCTGCAGCTGTGGATGTGTGTGGGAGGGGAGTCTTCACATGCAGCTGTGGATGTGTGGGAGGAGAGTCTCCACCTGCAGCTGTGGATGTGTGGGAGGGGAGTCTCCACCTGCAGCTGTGGATGTGTGTGGGAGGAGAGTCTCCACCTGCAGCTGTGGATGTGTGTGAGGAGAGTCTCCACCTGCAGCTGTGGATGTGTGTGGGAGGGAGTTTCTTCACCTGCAGCTGTGGATGTGTGGGAGGGGAGTCTCCACCTGCAGCTGTGGATGTGTGTGAGGAGAGTCTCCACCTGCAGCTGTGGATGTGTGTGGGAGGGAGTCTCTTCACCTGCAGCTGTGGATGTGTGGGAGGGGAGTCTCCACCTGCAGCTGTGGATGTGTGTGGGGGAGGGGAGTCTCCACCTGCAGCTGTGGATGTGTGTGGGAGGGGAGTCTCCACCTGCAGCTGTGGATGTGTGTGGGAGGGGAGTCTCCACCTGCAGCTGTGGATGTGTGGGAGGGGAGTCTCCACCTGCAGCTGTGGATGTGTGGGAGGGGAGTCTCCACCTGCAGCTGTGGATGTGTGTGGGAGGGGAGTCTCCACCTGCAGCTGTGGATGTGTGGGGGAGGGGAGTCTCCACCTGCAGCTGTGGATGTGTGGGGGGGAGTCTCCACCTGCAGCTGTGGATGTGTGTGGGAGGGGAGTCTCCACCTGCAGCTGTGGATGTGTGGGGGGGAGTCTCCACCTGCAGCTGTGGATGTGTGGGGGGGAGTCTCCACCTGCAGCTGTGGATGTGTGGGGGGGAGTCTCCACCTGCAGCTGTGGATGTGTGTGGGAGGGGAGTCTTCACCTGCAGCTGTGGATGTGTGTGGAAGGAGAGTCTCCACCTGCAGCTGTGGATGTGTGTGGGAGGGGAGTCTTCACATGCAGCTGTGGATGTGTGGGAGGAGAGTCTCCACCTGCAGCTGTGGATGTGTGGGAGGGGAGTCTCCACCTGCAGCTGTGGATGTGTGTGGGAGGAGAGTCTCCACCTGCAGCTGTGGATGTGTGTGAGGAGAGTCTCCACCTGCAGCTGTGGATGTGTGTGGGAGGGAGTTTCTTCACCTGCAGCTGTGGATGTGTGGGAGGGGAGTCTCCACCTGCAGCTGTGGATGTGTGTGAGGAGAGTCTCCACCTGCAGCTGTGGATGTGTGTGGGAGGGAGTCTCTTCACCTGCAGCTGTGGATGTGTGGGAGGGGAGTCTCCACCTGCAGCTGTGGATGTGTGTGGGAGGGGAGTCTCCACCTGCAGCTGTGGATGTGTGTGGGAGGGGAGTCTCCACTTGCAGCTGTGGATGTGTGGGAGGGGAGTCTCCACCTGCAGCTGTGGATGTGTGGGAGGGGAGTCTCCACCTGCAGCTGTGGATGTGTGTGGGAGGGGAGTCTCCACCTGTAGCTGTGGATGTGTGTGGGAGGGGAGTCTCCACCTGCAGCTGTGGATGTGTGTGGGAGGGGAGTCTCCACCTGCAGCTGTGGATGTGTGTGGGAGGGGAGTCTCCACCTGCAGCTGTGGATGTGTGTGGGAGGGGAGTCTCCACCTGCAGCTGTGGATGTGTGGGAGGGAGTCTTCACCTGCAGCTGTGGATGTTTGGTCCAGTTCACAGTCGTTAGAGAAGTTCAACAGGCTTCAACCCTTCAGCAGCAGAGCCGTTGTGTGAAGCAGTTTTCATCATTTTATAGATTTTTGTCGTCTTTTACCCATTCGTTTGTTTGAAGAGAAGTGCAATGTTTGAAAATCAGGCTCTCCCACTTTAGTCCAATTATTATTTTTATTGTAAAAAAAAAACAAAGTGAGAATGAGAAGTAAGACATCTTTATCTGTGTAGCACCTTTTCTCACCAAGGGTTATACAAATTGGGCATTTGTCATCTCAATGTTTGAAAATCAGGCTCTCCCACTTTAGTCCTGGGTTAGACCTGCTTTAGTCTTGCTCTAGAACCACTTTAGTCCTACTTTAGTCCTGCTCTAGAACCACTATAGACCTAGCCTGGTCTTACCACACCATAGTACAAATTTCACTTTGTCTTTGTATGAACAGTTGGTAGAAACCGACATCCAACTATAGCGTTTTACTGCCACATTGTCTCCGTGTAAACTCAGCCTTAGTGACTTTTGTGGTGAGTGTGACTTTGCCGGAGCACCGCCCGTCTCTCGCTGTTGTTCAGCTTCTGTGCATAAAGCACAGACAGTGATGTGCTGTGAGTGACTGCAGCTGCACATTCCTCAAAGCATTATGCAAATCTTGCTAATTAAAAGTGGTGTGAGGTGTTTGAAGAGAGACGGAGGATGTAAACATCTGTCGGACACACTCCACGTCCTGCTCCAAACTCTCTCTAAACTTTGTATTAAATACAAGCCATTAATAACATGTCTGTGTTATAATCAAAGTGTAGTCTCCTCTGACTGTGGCGAGGGCCAGGGTTCAGCTCCCAAATCACAGATCTGCTTATAACAGTAATAAAAATAAAAATAATGATAATAATATAAATAATAATATTAATGATTGTAATAATAATAATAATAATAATGATTGTCATAATAATAATAATGCATTGGTTTTATACAGCGCTTCTCTGGACACTCAAAGACACAACTCATGTCATTATTTATTCTCTCCAAACACAGTGGTGATAAACTACTACTAGCTGCCCTGGGGCACACTGACAGAAGTGAGGCAACCAGTCTGTGCCATTGGCCCCTCCCACCACCATCGGCCCCTCCCACACACACCAGACTCATTCTAATGTGGGGGAAGTGTCTTCAGGCCCCGCTGTGGCACCTGGTGTTCCCAGGGGTCTCCCATCACAGTACTTACCAGTCCCTGTCTTGCTTAGCTTCAGATGTCTGACGGACCTTGACATTCACATGCAGATATGTAAAAGCCAGATTTTCCACAGAAATAATTGTTTTACCTATTTGCCAAGAAAACTCCACTGTGTGTCATTGTAACTAAACAATTCCATCCATCCATCCATTTTCTTCCGCTTCATCCGTTGCCGGGTCGCGGGGGCAGCAGTCTAAGCAGAGACGCCCAGACTTCCCTATCCACACACACCTCCTCCAGCTCGTCCGGGGGGACCCCAAGGCGTTCCCAGGCCAGCTGAGAGACATAGTCCCTCTGTGTCCTGGGTCTTCCCCGGGGCCTCCTCCCGGTGGGACGTGCCCGGAACACCTCCCCAGGGAGGCGTCCAGGAGGCATCCGGAACAGATGTCCGAGCCACCTCAACTGGTTCCTCTCGACGTGGAGAAGCAGCGGCTCTACTCCGAGCTCCTCCCGTGTGACTGAGCGCCTCACCCTATCTCTAAGGGAGCAGCCACTCTGCGGAGGAAGCTCATTTCGACCGCTTGTATCCGCGATCTCGTTCTTTCGGTCATTACCCAAAGCTCATGACCATAGGAACGAAGATTGACCGGTAAATCGAGAGCTTTGCCTTTCGGCTCAACTCCCTCTTTACCACAACGGTCCGATACAGCTCTGAGTGTAGACGCTGCTCCCTCTTTACCACAACGGTCCGATACAGCTCTGACTGCAGACGCTGCTCCCTCTTTACCACAACGGTCCGATACAGCGACCGCATCACTGCGCACGCTGCACCGATCCGCCTGTCAATCTCACGCTCCATCCTTCCCTCACTCGTGAACAAGACCCCGAGATACTTGAACTCCTCCACTTGAGGAAGGACCTCTCCACCCACCTGCAGAGGGCAAGGCACCTTTTTCCGGTCGAGCACCATGGCCTCGGATTTGGAGGTGCTGATTCTCATCCCAGCCGCTTCACACTCGGCTGCAAACCGCCCCAGTGCATGTTGCAGGTCCTGGTTCGTTGGAGCCAACAGGACAACATCGTCCGCAAACAGCAGAGATGAAATCCTGTGGTCTCCGAACCGGACCCCCTCCGACCCCTGGCTGCACCTAGAAATTCTGTCCATGAACACAAAGGGCAGCCCTGTCGGAGGCCAACATGCAACGGGAACAGGTCTGACTTACTGCCGGCAATGCGAACACAGCTCTGGCTCCGGTCATACAGGGATCGGATGGCCCTCAGCAGAGGACCTCCGACCCCGTACTCCCGGAGAACCCCCCAAAGAACACCCCGGGGAACACGGTCGAACGCCTTCTCCAAATCCACAAAGCACATGTGGACAGGTTGGGCGAACTCCCATGAACCCTCGAGTATCCGATGGAGAGTATAGAGCTGGTCCAGTGTTCCACGACCGGGACGAAAACCACACTGCCCCTCCTGGATCCGAGATTCGACCATCGGCCGTAACCTCCTCTCCAGTACCTTGGAGTAGACCTTACCGGGGAGGCTGAGGAGTGTGATCCCACAATAATTGGAACTCAACACACCCTCCGGTCCCCCTTCTTGTAGAGAGGGACCACCACCCCGGTCTGCCACTCCATTGGCACCGCCCCCGATCGCCACGCGATGTTGCAGAGACGTGTCAGCCAAGACAGTCCTACAACATCCAGAGACTTTATATCCGCCCCAACATCCTCATCCTCTGCCTCTGTAACAGAGGACGTGACGGGGGGATTGAGGAGAACCTCAAAGTATTCCTTCCACCGTCCGACAATATCCCCAGTCGAGGTCAGCAGCTCTCCACCCGCACCGTACACGGTGTTGGCAAAGAACTGCTTCCCCCTCCTGAGGCGCCGGATGGTTTGCCAGAATCTCTTCGAGGCCGACCGATAGTCCTGCTCCATGGACTCTCCAAACTCCTCCCAGTCCCGGGTTTTTGCCTCTGCAACAGCCCGGGCCGTGGCACGCTTGGCCTGCCGGTACTGGACAGCTGCCTCAGGAGTCCCCCGAACCATCATGGCTCGATAGGACTCCTTCTTCAGCCTGACGGCATCCCTTACTGCCGGTGTCCACCACCGGGTTCGGGGGTTGCCGCCGGGACCAGCACCAGAGACCTTGCGACCACAGCTACGAGCCGAGTCGGCGATTGAGGCAGAGAACATGGTCCACTCGGACTCCATGTCCCCCTCCTCCACCGGGACCTGGGAGAAGCTCTCCCGGAGGTGTGAGTTGAAAGTCCGTCTGACAGGGGGCTCAGCGAGACGTTCCCAGCAGACCCTCACTATACGCTTGGGTCTGCCAGGTCTGACCGGCTTCTTCCCCTGCCAGCGGATCCAACTCACGACCAGGTGGTGATCGGTTGACAGCTCCGCCCCTCTCTTCACCCGAGTGTCCGAGACACGCGGTTGAAGGTCAGATGATACGACAAAAAAAGTCGATCATCGACGTCCAGCCTAGGGTGTCCTGGTGCCACGTGCACTGGTGGACACCCTTGTGCTCGAACATGGTGTTGGTGATGGACAAACTGTGACTGGCACAGAAGTCCAACAACTGCACACCGCTCGGGTTCAGATCAGGGGGGCCGTTCTTCCCGATCACAGGAGGGACTGCCCACGTCATCCCTTCGAGCTGAGCCCGGCCGGGCCCCGTGGGCTAAGGCCCGGCCACCAGGCGCTCGCATACGAGCCCCGACCCCAGGCCTGGCTCCAGGGTGGGGCCCCGGCTGCGCCATGCCGGGCGACGTCACTGGTCTATTTATTGTGCTGTCCATGGTTGGCTTCGGACCGCTCTTCGTCTGACTCGTCACTTGAGACCTGTCTGCCATGGGAGGCCCTACCAGGGGCATGAAGCCCCAGACAGCATAGCTCCCAGGATCATCCGAGTCAAACTCCCCCACCACGTTAAGGTGGCAGTCCAGGGGGGAACTAAACAAAACAATTCTTCAGCATTATTTTCCTTTAGTCTGAAACATGTGATCCATATTCAGCTTATCTCTGGATTTACAAATACCACTACACCACAATGAAAGAAAGCACTAAACATGAGTTTTTAAGCCCAAACTAGTGAGAGTGACACAAACAGTTACTGAGTCAAAGTCCGCAGGAGCAGAGTGAGTTGGAGCAAACCCTCCTGTTATTGGGGATCAAGCATAAACATAATGGACGAAGAAACTGTCCTAAGTTCAGATAATATCTCCATCTAAGAAGAGTGAGATTAGTTTGAAACTAAGTCAGAAAAACAATTTATCCCTGAGCACTGAGGAGTCTTCAGAACGTACCAAGTTTGAGACAGGAGCATTTAGACAGAAGGGACAGGTCAGACATTTGATGTTTTGATAATGTCTATCTTGAACGCCACAGTCCATTATGACTCGCTCTGGTCCTGGGCTATGACTGTAGAAGACTCATTTAGAAAGTCAAAAGTTTGTTTTGAATCGTTTATTTGAAGTATTGTCCAAACAACACGACAACCTTTCCCACTATTGTCCCGGGTAAAAAAGTCTGGAGTTTGAATACACAGAATATTCCAGTGGATTTATGGAGCAGCTTCTTTAAAGAAAAACAGCCTCTCCGCTGACCTCTCCAGCCACTCGGCCCAGTCACATGCTTGTCTCCATGGCGACGTATATTTTGGTGGAAACGGTGACGACTGTGATTTGTCCTTGTTTGGCATTTTCATATCCGTTCTTTGTTTGTCTTTTGAATTTAGATATGCAAATGTTTCTTCTTTGACCTCGCGAGCAACAACCAAGATCAAAATTCAATATGATTTCAGCTCCAAGCCTTTCTCCGGGCTCGCACAGGTGAAA